GGGTGGGTGGGTGGGGGTGTGTGGGTGTGGGTGCGTGGGGGTGTGGGTGTGCAGGTGGGTGGGTGCGTGAGTGCATGAGTGTGTGGGTGTGTGGGCGGGCGGGCGGGCGGTGGGTGGGTGGGTGTGTGTTTGCAATGTGTGAACGGGGGGGAGGGGGTGGGGGTGGCAGCCATGCAAAGAAGATTAGCTAGGGCCACTGCGCCGAAGATCAGATCAGATTCAGAGAAAGCTCTGTAAAGATCTAGCACAAACAAACAGCATCCATGGATGACTGATCTGCAAGTGTGTCCACCCCACCCACCTCACCCACCCACACCCACCCACGGGTGGCTGGGCGGCTGGGTGGCTGGGCGGGCGGGCGGGTGTTTGTGTGCACGTGTCTTGCACGTCTCGCTGTACTTGAACCTCAATGTAGGCTGAAGGTATTATTGCCCTGTGCGCTGCAAACCAAGTCAAGGCACCTCCTGCCCGGTTATCCGGATTGTTTTTACGATGTCTGCCATCTCGTCAATGTCCCAACCCTCCTTTCAGGGAAATGATGTTGGTAGAGCTGTCAATGAGTCACAACACATACTCAGCAAGGAGCTGCCTGCAATATGTCTTCTTCCTGAAGCTGCAGAGACTCCTCCCGGCCTTGCTGCAAGTCCCGGAAATCCCAAAATGTCAATAATGCCATGCCATTCAGGCCATGAAAGAATACGAGTGATGTAACGCCAACCTTGTGCCTGGGCTGATGCAAGCCGACCTCTTACTGACGGCTCAGTGGCAAAACAGCAGAACGCTGCCTTACGGCCTCATGCTGGCAATGGAGGCACCGAATTTCCAACATCAAGCCGCAAGCCTTCCAATTGCTGAGTAGCCGTGGGCACAGCGGATGTCTCCTGACATGTGTTCTGTGGAGCCTTTAGAGCCCATTTTGGTGAGAACCAACGGTTTTGCCCGGACTACAAATCACGCCTGTCCTCATGTAACAACGGCCTAGAAGTTGCGAGGTGCCACTCTTTATACTCTTCCGGAGATTCACGTCTGAGGCATGGCAGCCTTGAGATCCTGATGTCTGCTCCCCCGGACATCTGCTTTACCTATCATGTACTACTGTATCCGGGCAGGCACCTGCTGATGGCCTAATGTCGCGGACTGCCATCCATGGATCTGGCTGAGAATCTAGCTGGAATCTAGCTGTATCAGATGAACATCTTGGTTGACACGTGACATTGGACCTAGAAATCTCGGCTTCGCAACAGATGGCCTGGCGACACACGCAGAGACATGAGCAGCCACTGCCTACTCTTGAGATGCGACGTGCGAAACGATAAGGCCCAAGGCACCCTTCTCCAACGAGGCGGCGCTTCCAAGGTGTCTTCGTTTCGCTGAGCTGGGGAAGATACGTCGTTTGGAGGGGCCTGGAAAGAAGGTAGGGCATGCTTGACCAGCCTGGCTATACCCTGAAACCCTTTTGTTTGGCAGATTGAAGCGCAGGGCTTTGGTGTGGGCAGAGGGCCGGAGGTCACAGGCTACATGCGCGGAAATACAAGAAGCTGTCACTCCATCTGAAGCAACCGCATATGCGCGTCTCTGAACCACGAACAGCTGAATCACGATTGTCATTGGCAAGGTCCTTCGGAGCTTTTCCTTCAGGCCATCGTGAAAAAAGGAACCCATCAAGCCTGAGGGGAAATTCGAGTCGACAACCATCTCGATTGCTGCGCTCTGACTCGAAATCTTCGCCCACAATGCACATAGAAAGCTAGCAGGGGCCTCTTCTTCACTCGAGATTTTGCTAGTCTGGATCTTTCCTCCAGCACCACATTGAATTTACAATCGGGGGCAACAGATCGGAACTCAAATCATACATGCCTGTGGTATGCCTCGCGGTGCTACAGCGTCCAGCTGCAAACAATCGTGCTACATGTACAGACACTGTCCGAGAGCACTCGAATGCCTGATGCTTTGCGATGACTTCCATGTGTTGATTGTCTGCACAAGCGGAACACTGTTCGATACGCCGACTGCCCGCCTGCGGAACTTCCTCAAACAGTTGTCGGTCTTCTAGACCTCGATCACGACAAGGGGTTTTTGAGGAAGACAGCACGTATGGCTCTTGCATCGCATTGGCGACTGCACTGCCTTCGCCGTCCTCTCCCTCGCTGTTGACACTTTCTTCCTCGTCCTTTTCCTGATCGCTCAAGGTGAAACCATGTATCACTCTTCAGCAGCTGCCTGCCAGGTCATGCCCGTTCCGCTGCCTCCTGCATCCCATCTGCAAGCGATTCCTTTTCGACTTCTGCAATCGCACCTGGCGACTGCTTTTTGGCAAAAATACTGAAAGAGCCTGGGCCATCCGAGTCATGCACCGTGAGATCGCCAAAAGTTCCGCACCGTCGGCCTGTTCACCAATTCCCCAGACTCGACAGCCCGGCAGGGGCAGGGAACTGAAAAGTGTTTGGCCTCATGGCCGGTGTCTTTGTCGTGGCAAACTCGGCCGAGCTTTGGCGACCTGTGTGATGCTCTCTGTTGCCGTGGGCCCGTGCCCATGCCCGTGCGCGCCCGCGATCTCTCGGGTTGTTGCCGGGCTTCACCTTCCTTCTTACGCCGACCTGGGCACAAGCGGATGATAGGCCCGGGCCCGCAACTTGGCGACACCGTTTGTCGAGTCAAGAGCACATCTGCAGCATACCTGCCATCGCGAAGCTCCCCTACCCTCAGATCATCTCACAAGTCATGCTACTTGCATGGCATGAGTATGAACTGCTCATTTCCGAAAACAGTTGGGCTTAGGGTTCTAAAGGGGGGTTTCGGGTGCTGCGAAGGCAGACAGGGCACTCACAGGGCAGCCTAGTAGGGCTTAGGGTTCTAAAGGGGGGTTTCGGGCGCGGGGGTTCGGGATTTAGGGACAACCAAGCACAGACAGGGCACTCACAGGGCAGCCTAGTAAAAGGGGGGGTTTCGGGTGCTAGGGTTCGGGATTTAGGGACAACCGCGAAGGCAGACAGGGCACTCACAGGGCAGCCTAGTAGGGCTTAGGGTTCTAAAGAGGGGTTCGGGCGCTATTCTAATCGCGAAGATTCAGCGATTCCACGACATTCCAGCCGGGTTACGGCCTGAGCAAGCGTCTCCATGAAGGACTTCTTCGGAGCATCCTGACAATCCACGTCTCGGCGTACGAGCCGTGCGAAAACGGAGCCATAAAGCTGGAGGGGCCTGGAAGACGATCGTGAGAGAGCCGTCCTTGTCTGGCGTCCTGAGGCTGTGATCGCTCTGAGAGCTGAAGCCGGCCGTAACCCGCGCGCATGACAGCACTTTGTTTCATCCCAGCTTGTGAAAGCAACTCGCACTCCCCGAGCCAATCTGAACATCTTGAGCAGACAGAGCAAGTGGCAGCTTCTGTCGTCCGAAAGTCCCTGATCAGCCCGCTTTCACAGCTGATGCTTGGCGTATCCCTGGTTCGCATAGTAGGCCAAGCAGTACAAAGCATGCTATGCCATGGTATGATGCGGCACGGAGGCTCAATTCCAGGAACTAAGGCCCCAGCAAAGACCGCCTAAGTTCGAAGAGCACCAGGCTATACGCAGGAGCGGCATTCTATGCATGTCAATCTGATCGTAACGAGGCAAGAGGCTCTATGTGTTCATGATCATCTTCGGACAGCTCCGTTCGCCAGTCCATTTTTTGCTTGTTCACCTTTAGTGCTTTAGGGTCGCAGAGTTGTGGCAGCGAGTGGTTCCCGTGCCTTGGAGACCACGTCCCCCAACAAGACGTTCTTCTGCAGAGCGGGGCCGGTTCCCAGGATTTTCTTCACGAAAACCTCTCGCGCCAAGACAGGCTGGCTTTGTTGTTGCACGATGTTGCTTGTGTGTTCTCGCTCATTCAGCTTATGGTGAAGGTTAAATGTTGTGAGGAAGGGCGGCGGAGTTACAGTCGTCTGCTGCTCTTACGCAAAGCCCGAGATGTTGTCGATTTCGTCCATTCACCGAACAGTACCATGCAGGCATATTATTTTTGCGACAGTATACGGAATCATGTGCATTATAAGGGCAGGCAGCAGACGATGTTTGCGACTGTTTCTGCTAAGCCCGGGGGGGCTGACTTCTTTGTACAAAACGTCCCATCTCCACTGGCCGCTGGTCTTCCGTCTCGAGACAACCAGCTCTTTTTTTTCTGGACTGTTGGGGTCGATGCAGGGTTTGGCTTGCGGTATAATGGCGACTAATGAAGTCTGAAAGCGGTGGAACAGTCGCAACATGTCGCAACAACCACAACCATGAGAGCCTTCAAGCGCACTCATCGCGACCCTCTTCTCCGGACCGGTGCAGCATTCAGTCGGGCAGCGAAGAGTATGTACGAGGTTATGCAGCAGTGGCTCATAGTGGCTCCTGAGAGCTCACAGTCCCAAAACCAAAGCATTTAAGACCAGATATCTGAAACCGCAGACCTGCCGGAACCCAATGGAGGCTGGAGCTCGACTCAGCAAGGAGCAGCCTGCTTGGACACTGCACTCTGTGAACTTCAGCTTCCACTCCATGAAAGTGTAAAATGCTGATGGACTAGGCGGCGAGGGATATGGACGACTGGCCGACCTATGTAAGACAGGCTACACGCTCACGAACGAAGGTTCTGGTGTCGACATGCGATACGCATCGGGACAGCCCAATTGCCAGCATTCTACCGGTATTGCAAAAGAATGTGCAAGCAATCGAGGCGCATTACCGGGGTGTTGGACAAAAAATGTACCAAAACGTTGAACTATGTTGAAGGAAAAAATTGAAAAACACACACTCAAACAGAACAACTATTCTCCCTGCCCTGCGTGGCATCCTGCGGCTCACTATGGCTCACTCTGCGTCTCGAATGCTTTGACGTATTTTGACTTGAATTGGCTTTTGGCTGAGTTGCAAGCAAATACGAGACCAGACATCGTAGGTACGAGCGATTGGCTGGCACCATCGGCACAGCGCACGGCCAACACTACGGGCCTGATGCTCTCGAAGATGGTTCAGGGGTGCATCATATGCTGCATGGAGGCAATTGGAAACAGGCTGGCAGCTTAGAAATGCTTCCAATGGTATTTGCCAGAGCTACATTGCAAACACAGCATGTGAATGTACAAACATGACATGTCGCACGGCAGCATCGCACTCAACCTGACCGACACTAAGATAGTCTGCAAACTGAGCTGTTTCCATCACAGATAACGTACACTTGCCACAGCAGCCTTCGGAATCGATCCCGGACAATACTTAATCTGTGCCCCTCGACTACCAGCTACCTTAGCCTCATCAGATCATATCAGATCCACACTCGACTAAAAAACTTGAGGCAGAAAGGCCAACCTAAAACTTGCGCCCCAAGGGGGGGGAGGGACGAAAGCTCACAAACCGGGGGCAAAGCTGCGCGAGGGCGGGAGAGGACGGAGATGGGCGATACTCCTTTTTCACTTGCCGCTGCACGTCCCCCCCCCCCCACCGCCCCGGCACCAGGCATCATAAGCATCATGGGCGTCCCGTTTCTCCAAAAAGACGTCGCTCCTGGAGTCCCGAACGAGCCCGCGCGGCCCACGCCTGAAACACCTCATGGCCTTGGGGTTGGCTGGAAAACGGAGGGTGTTTTGGGACAGTTTCTGGGTGGTCCCCCCCCACACCCCCTGTAGCTGATCAGCAAGGCTGGGTCTCAAACGAAAGCTCTTCCCTCCACGGAGGGAGCTTTCGTAAATTCACATCGGTCCTGGCTGATGGCCGACTCCGGGCTTTTGCAGACTGGTGTCAAAACATGTTGGCGCTTTTGCCGTAGCGGACCCAACCGCCTGTCGTTCGTTAGTGCCTGCATTGGAAAGAAACGCAAAACTCAGCATGATTGCATCCTTAGCTGCCTTAGCTACGGCTTCGTTTGGGGCTTCCGCTCGCCTGCAATGCATCTCCGTTTCGTGGGGTAGACTCTTGGACGGGATTCCCGCCCCATGGCTCCAATGTCCAGCAAGCCTGCAGGCACCTTCCTGCCGGACCTGTCCCTGTGCTAATTTTGAAACGCTCCGGGTAGACAACGGCATGGTTTCGACACTGCAAGCATGTCCACCGTCATCGAGATGCATTGGCAAAGCCACACAGCTAAACTCTTCATGACCAATGATCACTGCATATCCGCGACTCCCGGCTTTCAGATGCACGCACAAAGAACTGCCTACCCTGACAAGTTTGTGCAAGCTTCATAGTGGTATTGTTCTTCCAACAAGCAGTGGCAGACGCTCTTGCAGTTGCGATGGCCAGCTGATCAGGAGATAGGCAGTATGTGAACGCAATGAACGACATGCTTCAGGTGCATCAAGTTACGGGCAACTTGGCCAATCGGCAACGCTGGCCTCCCTGCACATGTTTTGGGATCCGTGAGATTCCCCTTGTACAGGCGAAGTGCTGCACAAGCTGTGAGAAAAAACTTTAACTCCAGAAAAGGTCCGTGTGCCTGGCGCCTCTGTGTGTTTGTCTCTCCGCCCGTCCGTCCCAGCATCAATAGAGGTGTGTGTGTGTGAGTGAGAGAGAGA